AATATTTAACATCTTAATTATTTAAATGAATGTGAAATGTGCAGTTGGTATTGTTTGAAATATTAATACTTCGGTTTTTTAAATCAGATGAAATGGTGTTCAAATTAATACATTTGACATTTTCTGAAGATAAGCAAGCACAACTCGTTTATCTGCATTTGTTACCTTTTGCTCTTCCATCCTTTGATGAACTTGTCGTATTCTTTTCTATAAGCGATTTTTGCGGTATTAATCGCGATTCTGCTTTACTATTTAATCAATGTTAGAAGTCATTTTTAAACAATATACAACTAGTAATAACTGTGGTGACAGCAATTAATCTTATGTGCCAATACAGTTACAAATTAATTTTTGTTTTCCGTTTCCATGACAACGAAAGGTATACTGATGTAACATCACAAATTCAACCATTTGACATTATTAGTTCTTATTTCCATTTTTTGTAGTATTAAGGGCCCCATATTCTTTAAATAGTGTTTTCCGCAAAGACAAATAATTTCAAACATTTAATAACTGAATAATCTAAAGCTTATCAAATAATAGGAATGTTATGTCATGCCATCTGGTTATTTTCAAAGACACCGCAGTAAAACGAATAAACAGGTGCAAAAAACGATCAAACCATCAAGGTTTTAGGTACTGAAATCTTCGAAAATACTAACTTTTTTATATATAATTCCACATGTAAATATTCTTATAACATTTACTTGCTTACTCCTACATATAAAATTGTTTACTTTTATTTATAAGTACGTGAAAATAATTCTTAAAATGTGGGGTTAGAATAACAGCAAACGCATGTTCTACAAACGCTTTTTTTTTAGTTATTATTTTATTTGAGTAAATTTAAATGGTAACAATGAATAAACAAAACATCAAGGATTTTATTTTTGTGCTTACTTTTGTTCTACACGTTTTACTTTCAAAGATTTCAGTACCTAAAAACGCCAGAAATTTCACTATTTCTCGGCCGGGAATATGGCCACCTTAATACAATATTTATGATTTCAACGCGTACCAATAAAAAAAAATAGCGTAAAGTATTCGTGGATAACTGGTCTTTAAAACATTTGCTCTATTTCGAGCACTCCGGCTGCGCCGTCGTGCTCGAAAAATCGCGCGTGTTTTAAAGACCTTAATATCCACCTATACTTTAATATACTATTTTCGTCCCATTTAACCAGCGTGTCTTTTTAGCACTTAGAAACTTGAATTAAATTATCACGCCTACCACCATCATCATCATTATCACTATTATTAAAAATGTACACCTATCTTCATTATTATATTTAGGTAACAGAACTTGGGACACAATAACTGAAATTATATCTTAAATATATAAATAATTCCTGTGTAATAATATTGTGGACTTCCCACGGGTAATATAAGTAGGAGGTAAATGTATGTCTATTAAACAAGGTGGGCAGAGGTGACTCAGGTGTCTAGTTCCATTATTTACCTTGTATTATTACAAATTATTATGCAAGGTCTCATGTGTCAGTAACCTGTCTTACCGTTAAAAATATACTTGAAGTGAAAATATGTTTTTTTTTAAACAAAAGAAATCCAAAGTAAAATCAACAGTTTGGATATACCGGATTTATCTTGAGACAAAATAATACCTCGGTTCGACTCGATTATTTCGCAAAAAGTTTCAGACAAAAATTGTGGGACACCGAGGGAGCCACTGAATGGTCCATATGACGGCTTGAGGTCTAGACCGGAGTTGTGTTTTTAGTCCGGAAGTCGATTTTTTTTAATGAAAACACCCATTTTAACCACGGATTCGATTGAAAAACGAAAAAAACACTCTGTTCTTATTATTTTTCCGATTTAACCCATATTTTGGCCATATTATGTCCATAAAAAAAACAAGAATATTGAGACAACGGAGTACCTTGTCGGGATCACTTTTTTTAAATGTTTCATATAAAAGTTGTAGGGTGAAAAGGAGGCTATCTTGACATGACCTTAAAAATGACATTGACCTTGATTGACTTCAAGGTCGTTTGAAGATCAAATTTTAAATGGGACCCTCTTTTTTGACCTCGAAAATTACAATTGTGGGAAGTTTTACAACAAGGTATGAACTTAACCTCAAGAACCAGATCAGATATCAGGGTCATTTTAAGGTCGAAAAACTGTGTAATTATTAACTACTTTTAGCACTACCCAGGAATAACGACGTAGACTTAGTAGTTTTTTATTCCCTTGGGGTGCTTGTTTTCGGTGAAATTAAGAATTTCTTCAGATTTCTGAAGATTTTTATAATTTGGTGAAGACTGAAGTGTGTATGAGCAATTCTGACTCCGAATTCAGGAGACCAAAACCCTTCGGGTAGCATATGTAAGAACAATAATTCCAATTGTTTTAGTGCAAAAAAAAATAATTCCTTAATTTAAAGGGGAACACATTTTTATTTAAAAGTGATACCTCTCCGTTGTCTCAAGACAAATGCCCCATCCGGTATATTTTTTATAGAATATGAATGTAACGAATTTTTGTTGGTTAAGCTTGTATTAAGTTCCCTTAATGATCTAGTACCTATACACTCAGAGAAATATCTTTCAGCCATAAGTAGGAACTGGTTAATCCCAAATTAAAATATCTGCTTTAAATAGGCCCCGGAATGGTTACGCTGCTGACATAATAAAAAATGATGGTGGTTATTTTTTTTGCAAACATTACGTTATTTATTAATTGACAGTAGACAGAAATTTGAATTTGAATTGCATTTGAAGAGATGGTTGAATGAGCAGATGAGTTAAGTTCAGATTTTGCAATACCATAGTCGCATTGATTTTTTTAATAAAATTTTATAAACTGCAAGGTATCTTGTAGTACTCACGGATACTAATATACCTATTCTTATATTATTTTAGTAGTCCAAAATCACTACACTGCATATTGAAAACATTATACAGGGTGTTAAAAAAAGAGTGTAAAATATCTCAGGAGGTATGAACCAAAATAAGCAGAAAAGTCTTAATAAACATGGGTCCGCAAAGTAACGGTTGCGGAGATATGGACCACTATTCGTTTTTCAAACATTTTATTTTATTAGGAATGAATCGACAAAGGAAGCTTTTAACAAACAAAAAACAAAGTTACAGAAGATGTTCAAAGTGCCCTCCGTCCATTTCCAAGCAGGCACGACATCTTCGTCTCAACGATATTCGAACTCTTTCGAAAACACCCTCCTTGGTTTGGATTTCTTGACACTTTTGATTAATCCGTAGCTGCAGCTCTTCCAGGCTATTTACAGGAGTACCATACACTAATGTCTTCAAATATCCCCAAACAAAGAAATCTAGAGGGTTCAGATCAGGCGATCTTGGAGGCCATAAAACAGGTCCGGCCCTTCCTACCCATCTATGTGGAAAAGTTTGGTGTAAATGCTCTCTAACGGCCATGGAAAAATGAGCTGGAGCACCATCATGCTGGAACCACATTTGTTGCCTCTGATTCAAAGGAATGTCTTCCAAAAACTCATACAGTGTGTTCTGCAGAAAGTTGAGGTAAGCAGCGCCTGTTAATCGGTTTGGTAAAACAACAGGACCTAGAAACCTGTCACCTACAATACCCATCCAAATGTTTAATGAAAAACGTGCCTGATGTCCAGATTCTATTAGAGCATGAGGATTTTCGTCGGCCCAAATATGCGTATTGTGAAAATTAAACACTCCATTTCTTGTGAACCCGGCCTCATCAGTAAAAAGAATGTTTGCAAGAAAACGAGGGTCTTCAGCATCATGACGTAGAAACCAGCGGCAAAAAACCAAACGTGCTTGATGATCATTTATTGGATTTAAGGCCTGTACTCGTTGCACATGGTATGGATAAAGCAGTTGCTCGTGAAGGATTCTCCAAACAAGAGGACCACTAATTCCTACCTCGGCTGATATTCTCCGCACACTCGTACCTGGATTCTGCTCTACCAGTGCTAGAATTTCTTCTTCTGCTCTAGGAGTGGATACCGACCTTGGTCTTCCGGATAAATGGCACTGTTTGCTCAAGGAACCGGTATCACGCAATCTTTGGTGAATTCTTCCAAACATGCGTTGTGAAGGAATCTGGCGATTTGGATAAGCGTCAACATAAAGACGTCGCGCTTCGGTGGCGTTCCCATTAGCACGACCATACATGAAATGCATGTCTGTTAATTCTGCGTTAGAGTAACCAGCCATAGCGAAAGAAAACTTGTGCACTGAGAACAACTGTCAAATACGTACTGTTTATTTCACTAAACATCAACCAACTGTTATAAGAAAATACACAACGTTTTTGCAAAATAAGAAAAGGGGCTCAAAAACATAAAACATTCCATATCTCCGCAACCGTTACTTTGCGGACCCATGTTTATTGAGACTTTTCTGCTTATTTTGGTTCATACTATTACCTCCTTAAATATTTTACACTCTTTTTTTAACACCCTGTATTGTGGCAAATATTTAGAATAAAATGTAAAAAGTATTATGTACCTACTAACAATTTTCCTTACAGAATAATATTAAAAATTGAATACACAACGAATTTAATTAAGGTATCGCCGCCTGGCATTTAATTCTCCAGACTAGAGAGGAAACACACACACACACATAAATTTGCTAATAATAGCCGCAAACTGTCGGTGGAATATTAATTAAATTTGACTTGAGCAAACTCACGGCTAAAAATAAACATTCTTTCAATCGGCGGACTTGCAGCGACTTGTCAATGAACGTTTTAATTCATGCCGCCTAGCGATTAGTCATAGCGCCCGCAAATAAGCGGCCCGCTCAAATAAATGCAACTGAGCATAATTCGTTTATCCTAAGAATGCAATAATAAAAGGGGGTCGAAGTAAAAATCAGTACGATGATGCGGTGGTTACTTGTGAACCAGTGCGCAACGGCGACTACGAAGACAAGAGAGGCGAGGGTGAGGGACCGTGGGTACCGACGACGAAGGATAGAGTCAGCCCTCACACACACACCAGTCAGTGTTGGACGACCCGCGCGAGTCAGCTCTCGGTCTCGATCGCTTCTCCGTCGATGGGGACAGCACCTAATTAAATCCCCAGCCCGGTTGCGATCGCCCAAACTTGGACAATTAGTAGTGAGTTGTTTTAGTGTTTGTGGTTTCCGTTCGAGTTCGAGAAAAGTGTGCGCGCAACTATGGACCACCGGCCGGTGTGGATTTTCCTCTTGCTGTCAGTGTCAGTGATGAGTTATACGGGGGCCACCGGAGGGGTCTGCCCTACGCCCTGCACGTGCAAGTGGAAAGGCGGCAAAAGGACAGTGGAGTGCAACGAGCGCGGACTAATAACGATTCCCGAGAGCGTTGATCCTGAGACACAAGTCCTGGACTTGTCGGGCAATAATTTGCAGATCCTCCCCCGGGAGACCTTCAACCGATCGGGCCTAATCAACCTCCAGCGGGTGTACCTAAGAAGTTGCCGGATAGGTCAAATAGACGATCTGGCTTTCCGGGGCTTATTGAACCTCATCGAATTGGACCTTTCACATAATTTATTAACCTCTGTCCCGTCAGGCACTTTCCAGGACATCCCCTTTCTTCGCGACTTAATTCTCTCTAATAACCCCATCCAGAAAATTGATAGCTACGCGTTCCAGGCCATCCACGGCTTAGTCAAATTGGATCTGTCAAACTGCGAGATCCAAATGGTGGCGCCCAAAGCTTTCGAGGGAATTGAAATGTTGGAGTCGCTTAAGCTAAACGGCAATCGCCTATCCGAGTTAAGACTTCGCACCGTGGAAACCTTAAGCCGATTGCATGGCGTCGAAATGCACGATAATCCGTGGCATTGTGACTGCCGGCTGCGTTCCGTGAAGGAGTGGCTGGTGAAGAACAACATCCCCTATCCCGAAGCGCCGACCTGCAGCGGGGGCCCCGAACGCGTCATCCACAAGACGTTCGCGGAACTGCACGTCGACGATTTCGCCTGCAAGCCGGAAATTCTCCCCGTTAGTCGTTATATCGAAGCAATATCCGGAGATAACGCAACTATCGCATGCAGGGCCAACGCCGTGCCTGCTGCTCAAATAAAGTGGTATTGGAGCGGAAAGCTGCTTGTAAATAATTCAGCGTTCTCGTCGCACCAGAAGATCCACATTTACGAGGAGGGCAAACAGGAAAAAAGGAGCAATCTCGTACTCACGAATGTACAGGAAGTGGATTCCAGCGAGTTTTACTGCGTCGCGGAGAACCGCGCCGGAAATTCGGAGGCGAACTTCACACTTCGAGTGTCGATGAGGCCCATGGGGATCACGTCGCTGGGGAACGGTCAGATAGCCGGCTTAAGCGCCGCCCTTGTAATCCTCATTTTGTTTATTTTAATCATCATCTCCGTGCTGCTGACTCGACTCAGAAGGATGCCGTTCACGGAGAGCAAAATCCCGGGACAGATAGAGGTGGTGACAGTCGTGAACGGCTCAACTCTGGCCAACGGGAAGTCCACCATATCCCCAATAAATCCTCCAGAGGAAACGTCTTCGTTTTCGGAACGAAAACATCCAACGGAACTGAACTTCTGCAACCCCGTGCAAAAACCACCTCGCCTGAACGAGATACCCTACTCCACAGCCCACTACAACGGAAGTGGGAGTATCATGTCCGGTTCCTGCTTCGTATCTCCTTCTTCCAACTCGGGCAATAATCCAGACCTAATAAATGACACCAAAGTTCTGGAAGGTGGCGAAGTGATAGCCGTCCCCACTGGAGCTGACGATCATTTCGAGCGGCCAGCTAGCGGCGAATACAGCAGGAATGCGGACTCGCTGTATCCCTCGAGTCTGTGGGAGAACGACGCCGAGCCGTATAACACTCACTCAGTCACCAACGGCTCCGGTTTTCTTTACAACGACAAGACCCCCATAATGGGCGATGGGACTAGCACAGGTGGATCGATAGAGGAACTCAACTTCCGGATGGCCCAGGGAACTAATCGGGTCGTGGGATATCCCTCGGACTACGGTCTTCCCATTGCGGAACCAAACGCGGAGACCGCGTCGGCCACCCAAGTAAACCTTCCAGCGACCGCCAAAACGCTAAGGGTGTGGCAGAAGGGAGCCGTGCCCGTCCTGCCCCCGGTCACCGCCTTGAAAAGGGCGCTAAGTCACAACAGGAGCTCTCCCGACGAGGGCTACCAGGAGGGATGCGGCACCGACGTCTAAGGGTCCTTGGCTGGCTCATCATACCAAAGACTAATATTACGTTCCTAACTGATTTTTGAAACGAACCGACTGGTGGGACTGCTCCTAGTTGCTCAATCCGGCGACTGCTCAGTGCTGTGAAGTTTTTCAGAATGGAAAGTGTACATAATTTTGTATTCCCTGTGTGATATTTGACTTCAAAGTCAAGCTGTATGTAAATATTGTGAATATTGTAGATATCAATAAATATTTGTTTTAATAGGAAACAAATTTTTGGAGTATACATGGTCAAAAGACTGAATTTATATAATTATACATATTACCTAGAGATAAAATAATAAGAACGTGTGTTACGGGTACGTATTGGAGAATCATAGTTTCACACCTTTTGCTTTTTATGTTTTCAAATTTCTTTGCAGCTAGAAATCTACAACTGTTCGTTATTTAGTCCACTGATTCTGCACTTTATACTTTCTACTAATTTCCCGTACATTACTCAGCTTGTACCCGCTTCAGACGTAGCAATTTATTGTGTATACATGTATAAAACAATAAATTAACTCTAAGATACCTATTTATTTTTATATTTATTATTATAATTAAAAAAAAACTGTGTATTAAAGTACAGGTACTAAGTAACTGTTAATAGAATAACGTGTTCAGTTGTCAACGGCAGTATAAATGTTATAAAATTATACACTATTATAGTGTCGTGTACTAAATATAAACCTACAGTAATAATAATAATTAATAATAATAATTCAGTATTCTTAATGTTACCAAGATGTATATAAATGTGAAAAGGTGGGTACATTTTGTTAATAAATCCCTTAACAAATTTCGAATGGTCTGTTATTTATTCTAAAATGTTTGTTTAGCAATTTAGTGCAAGTGTATAATTATTAGTTTATTAACACAAATACTTTAAATTACCTGCAGAAGTAGATCGTGAAAAAGTTCTGAATATTAAATCAATGTTGAGAATAAATTTCATTATTGATAACTAAGGTCGGTCTAATAAAAAAACAGCATGCCTATTATTTACTTCCTCGTTCACTTTTAATGTTCATTTCAATCCACTATTAGTTTGTGTAGCACAGCAATGTATAAGTAGTTTTCAACACCATATTTTTACTTTATTTTCATTGCATTTTTTAAACATTTGAAGTATATGTGGAATTAACCATAAGTCATTCATGAATTGACGTCTAAATTGCACTGAATGCTTCTTTTCAATATCAATTCTCTATTATTTTATAAACTATCTGTGTAAATCACCCCGTGATATTTAACATAACTCTAAGTATCTACAGTGGGACTCATTTCAAATGGAAACACCTCTGTAAAAAAGTACTTATTAACCGAATTAATTGGTGTCGTCATTTGAAAGATTAACATTTGAATTTATTTTCAGTCAACAAAGTATATTTTTTATTGATTTTTTTGGCAAAAATTTTTATTTTATTTAAAATTTGGCTACCGAAAAAAGAAATAAATAAAAAGTAGGTTTTAATATATTAAAATGTTATTTAAGTTCTATCTTGAAAAAATATATATTTTACCTATTTGAAATGGGTCACCCTGTATAATAAAAGGTGAGTAAATATTTTTATAACGATTTAAAAGTCTATATTTCAATTAACTTTAACACAGCTATTAAGAATAACATTTATCTTTCTTGTTTACACGTCATAGGGTTTCTTAGCAACAAAAATAAATATCGGTTTAGTATCAACAAAAACAAGTTCCGTTCAAATCGATTTTTAAATTATTTATTTATTTCCTCTATGTCGGAGGTGGCCAGTGACACAATTTTTTTCCCCCAGTCCATTAAGTAAGCAAACAGGGTTAAAACGTTTACGCCAAGCATGGAATTAAAAAATTGGGAGGTACTCAATAGACAGGTGTAAAAAACTTAACTGAAACTTCCTCATGGCAAAAGGAACCGATTAGCCGTATATATTTTTGAAACGGAGTTAACAAACAAATTGATACAGAGTGTTACAAAAATAGCTCTTTGAATCGAGTTCTTATTCGAAATGTTTTTGTAAACTCAATTTATAATTTTCGGGAATAGTAAATAGAATTATCAAAAAAGCTAAAATTGTTGGAAATAATTGTGTGCAATTTCTGTGAAAACTTAGTCAAAGATTTATCATGTTGTTTGTAAATAAGTGCGAAATATTCTTCGTTTCCAAGATACAGTGTTTAAACTTTAATTTTTAATTTATTTTTATTAATTATTTCAAAGTGTTGTAAAGATATTAACTCGAAATTTGATGGTTGTATTTTATTTAGAAATATTTACAGCAACCTACTAGATAATGTATCAACAGAAATTAAAAATACACAATTTTCAATAAAATATATTTTATTTTTTTCCTTAAGAACGGTGCATCCTACGAAAAAAAATAGAGATCAATTTCATTTCTAAAAAAATATCGAAACGTGCAAAAGTTAGCGGCGTATCATTTTTTTTACTAAAAAACGTGGCATTCTCGCACGAACGTCACTGGTGCAAGTAGAAATATTCGGATCACCCAAAAAAATGCACATTTATCCCTCCAAAGCGTTTTTCAAATTACGAGTCAATATCTTTAAAACTCTGAAATAATTAATAAAAACAAAAAAAAATTTAAACACTCTTTATCTCGGAAGTATATTTCGACCTACATTTAAATGAACTTTTTTTCACAAAATAACTTCAGCAACCACCCCCTAAAATATTTCGCACTTATTTTCAAAATTTATTTTAGAAATTTCATCTCGGTGATTTATGGGAATTTTGTTGTTATTTTGAGATATTCAAATTAAGAAAATAATTTACATCAAAATCTTTTGACTCGTTGTCTAAAGTATATCTGGTTAATTTTTTTATCCCTAATTATGACTTAACCCTGTATCTATGATGCTATTAGAAACGAAGCTTGAATTTTTGTATATTAAGGGATATTAAACTAATTTTAAAATTATTTCTAAAAATATTATCAAATGAAGTCAATGTACTTTGACACCAAACATACAAAATATGTCTACCCTCACACAGAAGTTAGTAATTAATAATTTTGAGAAATAAAAATGAAACATTAATTCAAACAACAAATATATGATGAACTGAAAATATTAAATAATGTAATATTTCGTTTATTATTCAATTCTTTAGTGCATCATATCATATCCACCGTACATTTTTCTGTGTTGAAATCAAGAACTGTTAACTTTGAGTATAGGGAACTATAGTATCATTTTAAAGTAAATTTAATTCTTCATGCATTAACATAATAATATACAGGGTGTACCATTTGAAATATTTGAGTAAATTCAACTTTAACGTCACAATATTGGTCACACATTCTTAAACACTCTGTACGAATTTTTGCAAGTTTGACATAAACTGGTTGAATTCCATTTCTTTCAAATTATCCATGCCAAATTTCATTAATAAATAAAGCTAAATGTCGGAGTTATTATGTTTTCAAAAATCACTTGCATTCATCATTTTTTTTCGAAAATTTAGAGTAATAAATTGAAAACTGTCATATTTTGGCCTATAGTATATGAACTCAGTCTAGATTTTACCGTAGAATTAAAAAAATGCAAAAATATACAGTGTCCCATTTGAAATAACAGAGCTGATTATGACTTCCGGTATAACCGAAAGTGCGAGAAAGTTGACACTACTTTCATTGAATATATCTTTTTGATAAACCCCTGTATACAAATTTTCAAATTTCAATTTTGACTACTTTTTGAGATAATCCTACTAGGCCCTCTTCGTGATACACCCTGTATAATTTATTTTCACTAAATTAGGCTTTGAAACACTGACTTTCTAAAATGCCATTGCCCCTTAAAACCTATGAAAAGAACAAATGATGTGAAATATCCTGCAAAAAAAATACTGAAGACGCAAATAGTAAAAATTTAATTAATAATTTTGGTAGACAACCGGTTCGTTTTCTTTCAACGGCCTATTCTGTTTGATTGATTCACGTCAACGTTTAATGAATGGACGTCTCAAGTTTTTATCGTTCCCATTTGTCATGAAAACAACAAGGAGAAATATGATGGTGGATAGAAATTGCACATTTGGCGCCGGATAAGAATCGAGTAAATTCCTCTAATTTATTAATTTTTCCTTGTCTTCTTCATTTTATGAATTGTGCTATGAGTAGCGCAATTTTTAACTCCCTAAAATATTGCCAAGTCAAAATGAATGTGACTGATTGCATTGCTTATTATTTCCAAAGCTTTCGATAAAATCAATACCATGTTCTGAATGCTCGTATCAACAACACACAGGACTGTTTTGTTTTAATATAAATATATTTCCACCGAAATTGACGTGATTATCACTGTTGGTAACATCATCAAAATACGACTGGTATAAATAAACAAGTAAATTTGTTTATCCAAATTGTATAGAATTCCTATATTTTCAACAAATGAAAGAGTAACTTCCGTTTCCGAATAAAAGTTTCATTGCAACTAAAAAAGTGATTCTGTCGACGCTTCAAAGCAAAATTGACAACCAAACCAAAGATGAACTATGAATTTTATTACAGACTCTAGTTCCCAGCTAAAATTGTCACTCTTCGGGACTTTCAAATAATATCTGAATTCGGTCCATCAAAATGCCCATATTACTTTGAAAATGTCTATCCTGTCTTTTACGTAGATATACGAAATTATTGAACTGGTAGAGGATACGTACATTTTGCATCAAATGAAAATATAACTCTTAATATCAGACAAAGAACTTGTTGGTGTGAAATGTTCCTATAGTAAACTTTAAGTTTGCGTCTATTTGTCTGTAAGATGTACCTGATTGAACAGCATTACCACTTCTAAGAAAACGAAAGTACAGTGAAGTGAAAAGAGGCTATCGTGTTTGGTATGTAAACAGCTACCTATCGTTACAAGAGTTACGAAAATCCGTTTTATAATATTTAATATATAGTACAATATTTCACCATAATCTTTATGGCAGAGCTGGGTATGAATACAAAACAAGTATTCTATCCCTGAGTATTGAATATTGTGTTAAACAAATATTCCAAGGAATACTTGTATTCAGGCATTTCCAATCTACAAATAAAATACTGAATATTTACAATGCTTATCTGTGTCACTTAGAAAACTTTGGAAGGTCACAGAACCTGCGTCGAATATTTCCAATGGCCTCCGGGCAAAATTGTTTTTATTACGTTCCTAAAGAAAGTAATCTTTTACGGTTATACCCTTGGCGAATTTTGTAGAAAAACGTATGCAAACGTCTTTCCCCGTTAAAAAAATAATCTGTCGCTCTCTCGTTCACCGAGACAAAAAAATTTAATATCACCTGCAAAAAAAACGCCGAGCTGTTCGAACATCGAACTGATGATACAAAATGTTTTTCTAGTAGTACACATCGAGCCGAGACAGCCGAGAAATGTGTTATGAAATATGATCTCTCGGAAACCTGTGATAATAAGTAGCGAGCGAAACGCTGTTCCAAGCTGGATCGATCGATTTCTAGTGCCGTTAGGAGGGATTTAGTCACACAATGTGGAATCACAACCTTGTAACACGACAGATTAGTTAAAAAAAAATATAATGGGTTAAAAGAAAAAGATTTTGTCGTGTCTTTCTCTTAACGATTACATCTTCATAAAAATTAAATGCTGTTTGTTAGTAAGCGCATCACTTTAGAACGGCTGGACCGATTTGGCTATTTTTTTTAATGTTCGTAATAGCCCGAATAATATTTTTAAATTAAAAGATTCGGGTAATACTGAAAATGCTTTTTTCTATGGGATTTTTG